AATATATATATATTTTTGGACCTGGTATCAAACTCCTGTCCTTGAACTTGCAAGGCAGGCAGTGGAACCACTGAGCTAAATCTCCAGCCCCTTAAATTATAATATTAATGCTCTTGAATTAATATTGTCAACACAAGGTAAGGGAACTATATATTCTATCCTGATTTTGTGCCTAGTACTAAGGAGATTTGTAAGTGGATTATCCTGCTTCCTTAAGAATTACTTCTAAAAAGTCACCTTTGGAAGGATTTTACAAGAATATTTTTTGAGTCAATAGACTCTAGCTAGCTTCCTTGGCTCTCTAGATGTGTGGAGGAAAAAACAGAAAACGAGAAATTAGCCTTAAGAATGGCAATTTCTCAACTTGCAACTATCCAATTTAAAAGGCTTACAACTTACAACTGTCGAATTTAACCTGTTTAAAAACATCCTACTGCGCTATTCCTACTGTAATGGAAAAACATATTTTATGAATAAAAACATACATAAATAGCTTCTGAAATGTACTCATTTGAATGTTGACATGTTGATGAAATCTTATGTTCTAAAAAATATATTTATACTAAGAATTAGTGTAATTTTCCAGTTAATATATTTACTAAAAGATTAGTGTAATTCCCAAAGTAATTTTGACAAAATATCTACTTTTATTTAAATTTTTAAGAAATTAAAAGTTACTTTTATTTTTCATTATCATAAAATGAAATTATGCAAGTGAATTTACTGGATAAAATATAATTACCTAGTAAATAAAAGTTTAAGTACTTTAGTAAAATATTTCTCTTGTATATCACAAAAATCTAGTTTATTTTTCTTATTAATCTGGGTCACAGTTTTGGATATTAATTATATAATACTATAAAATGGAATACAACATTTAGGATATTTAGGGCTGATTGTTTTCAATTAAAAGATGTTTTCACATTGTTTTTGCTTTGATTTATCTGCCTTTCCACTGCTGCTAGTTTTCTCGTGTAATTTTATAATTTTTTTCATCTATATCTATGCTTTATAACCAATCCCAAATCAGTAGTCCTTTGAATGTTCCTTTCCTATAGGATAACATGAACAAACTTGTTCTGTTTGTTTGGTTTTGATTTCCTGGTAGTATTCAGACATGAAGAAACTTAAGGAAGAGCAAAAGAAAAAAGCTTAACTTTTAATATTTCAGTTGTTATGGGTAATAGTGTAGTAAAATAAAAACATGACAATGTAAAATTCTTTTTAAATCAACAGATCACAGCAATGCAGAAGGAATATTTTTCATATTCCTGGAACCTCTTTGAGTTAGCAATTACATTCATTGGCATCCTAGATGTAATACTTTTTGAGACAGGATTCACTGCTCATAATTTTATCTTAACTGAAATAATGAAAAATATTCCACTCCTTCGTATAGCACGTGTTTTGAAGGTAAATAACAAATCATGCACTTTCAAATTTCTCTAGCTTCATGACTTTTTTAGGCAACCACTCTTTATAGGGCTAATGTTTACATTTTAAATTTTAACTTCCTTTGACAAGTTAAGTTTTATAGTACTTAATGTAAATTGTGCTTTATGTTAAATTTATTACTTTATCACTAAGAAGTATAAACATATTCATCACTGCTTGCCCTTTAATAGAGTGCATGAAAATTCCATATAGACATAAGTACAAGTAAATGCTGAAATAATATATTTTTATACATACCTAAGGCATAAAGGATGGAAGTAAGCATAACAAAGAGCCATGCAGAACCTTCACAGGGGCAAAACAAGTTGCATACACTCACACAAATCATTAATGAAGTACTCACTTACTTTTATGTAAGTTCATAGTAGGATAGGATCATGGTATCATAATGACTTGTGATTATCGGATTCGTTTAACAGGTATGATGAGTAGTTTTTATTTTCTTATAATAATCATTTCAGCGGCGTGAAACTCCATGGCAACACATAAAGATATATGGGTGTAGATCTATGTTCTCTTTCTCATCCTGTTCACACATAAACAAGACACAGACAAATATATGCACTGTGGGACATACAAAGCTAAATGAGCATAGTTTATACAGAGCTTAAACTAACAGCATAAAATTTTTTATTTAAATATTCCTTACATATATCTAGAAATACTTTTGAGGATGAGAGGCATAAATCAAGTATGGAAGCAGCAGTCTCTCCTTTGTTAGTGTTCATTAGACAGCAAGTAAGGACTACAATTTAATCTGAGGAAAACAAGCTCTGTGCATTCTATAGCCTAGTTGATTCTTCTTGATAGAAAGCTACACAGAGTCTACTGAATTGTTTAAGTGAAGGAAATGACAAACCACCTAAGAAAAATTTGTTTAATATGTTCAGGAAACTCTGAACCCTATGTCAAATGGTAGGCCCTTGGAATATAATGACAAATTAGATATAGTCCCTGAGTCTAGGGAGCTCATAAAAATAAGAACCAAGATAGATTATGTAAAGGTCCAAATCTCCAATGATGAATGTTATTCTATGGTATGCCTTAAATGTACCAATAAAATTTTTAAAAATGACAAGTAATCTATAAATGCCAATGTTTTATGGTAGCTAAGTGCAAAATAATGCAAAGTACTTGAGGAAGAGAAAGGATTTCTTTTTTTAGGTGATACTTGAGCTGAATCTTGAAAGATGAGTAAACTCTAGGGATTCATCATGGGTGGCTGTGGCATAGAATATGGAGGTTGTGGAGCACACATGTAGGAAAATAAAGAGAACTGTCACTTGTGCTGAAATTAGGGAACTGCACAAGGACAACAAACAACCTGGAGATGTAAGCCCTCAACAAAGAAACAAGAAAAAAGGCTAATTGTGGGATCAAACAGAGTATGGTTGGGGTTGGGTCTCATCCACACAGGTCATTTAGTAGGTTCCATAGGAGATTTAGCATGGAAATGCAGCAGGACTTTGTAGACAGTCATTTTACAACCTAAGTTCAGAGACTAAACATATTGCTTTCCAAAAATTAAAACGATTTGATAACAACATGCAATTTTCTGTAAGGGAAATGCATAATGAAGAATTAAGTTATAACTTTATTTCTTTGTGCAAATATCACCCATGTATGCCCATTATTATTAATTATAGTACAATAACTACAGTAAAGTTACAAAGGCACCACGAATAAAAGAACTGTAGTTATCACCTTTGATTAAGGCATTTAATTTCTTACTATTATCAATTTCAGTTGAATTAATTAGTACATATGCAAGTAAAATCTGCATAATTTATATTAAATGGTAGTTCTGCTTTTTCAGCTCATAACACCAAAGTTACTACAAATAATAGATAAAAAAATGAGTCATCAGCAATCCTTTAGGTATGCAATACTGAAAGGATATATCCAAGGTGAAATAGATGCAATGAATATAATAGATGAGATTGCAACCTCCAATCAGGTCAAAGAGGTGAGTAAAATCTTAAATATTAGAGAAAGACTTACTCCTTTCACTGCTCTGTTGCCCTCACCCATTGTGTCCTCAGTCTGTACATTTAGATATCATCTTGGACTCCAAGTTTGATAACTAATTTTTGCAAAAACTCAAACTGTTCTACACTTAAATTACTCATGTTTCTTGTTACGGAGATTCCTGTACCATGCTAGCATGGTATGAGAAGTTACCGTTCTGCCTTTGCAAGACCCATCAGCATTCTCCCAAGTTAGGCTCCAGGATACACCAGGATACAGATGCATTAAATAGGAACAATCAGAAAGCAAGAAGTGACGCTTCAGTTGAAGACAGCTTCCTCAAAATACCCCAAAGCTCCATCAATCTCTGTCTTCCTTTTTTCATAGTAAGCAATAAAGGAAATAAAAACAAGTGACCTGTAAAATAGAAAGAGGAAGATAATAATTCATCTACAGAAAACCTTGTCAGACTTTCTTATTATGAGGACAAGAGACATGAGGCCGAGAGAGGTTAAATGATTTTGCCCAAAGTCCCATGGTTAGTAAATAGCAAAGACAGTTTTAGGGTCCTAAATTCTGTAACTTTTTCTAAACTGAGACAGATTAACAGTCATATGTGCCTGCCTATTTGTTGATGAGGTAGAATTCAATATTTACCTTCTAAGGCAATTTGCAGCTTTTGGATGTTATTCTTTACATGCCCAAAGTTTTGTCGTTGAGAAAAGTGTATTTTTGTCTCCTCTCCACCTACAAGTTTAAAAGTTCACTACTGAGTGTTACTAATTTTTCTCACCAATGAATTTTTTAAATTTTCTCACCAACTAGAATTTGAGGATGAAAGAAGAAAATACAAAGGGACTTAGGTGTCCAAAGTATTGATCCAACTTTATCCTCATTTAGGTTGTCACACCCCTTGATCATACCTACTTACTCCAGATCGAAATCTATCCCTTTGTCTCTAGTTTGAAAGTTGCAAAAAGCTGAATGTGAAAGTACACATTTCAGAATCAATAGTACCCTAAAGCAAGTTACCTTAAGGAAAAACATGCAAAATACTTTTAGTCTTCTCAAAATCAATCTAAGTAATACTGCTTCTTATCGTCTGCATGACTCTTAATGAAGCTTAAACTTTTGAGTCTGGGATGTAGCTCAGAGGTAGAGCATATGGAGTTTGACCAGAAGCAACAGAAAGAGAAAGAAGGAAGACTCTCATTGCACAAAATTCATTTTGAATCCCTAAAAAGCTCTCATCATATTCATCATATTTTTTAAGCAAAGTCAATAGATTAGGTTTAAAATCTATCAGTTGGAACTGCAAAGATGTGTGTGTGTGTGTGTGTGTGTGTGTGATATTAAACCTAAGACCTGCACCCAAGTTACATTCTCAGCCTTTTTAATTCTTTATTTTTGAGACAGGATCTTGCTAAGTCACTTAGTTACTTAGGCTGGGCTCAAACTTGTGATCCTCGTGTGTCAGCCTCCCAGAGTGCTAAAATTTAAGGTGTGTGCACAAAAACATTTTATAATGGTACATTTTTTTTGAAATGGAGATAACATTTCTTTTGTCCTGTAGATGTTATTAAAGCGGGAAACAAAGAATATGGAATGTGCTATGAAAGAACTAGGTAAGTATCTTTCATCCTCAGTATGTAGCATTACCATCTCTTATCATAATTCTATAAAAACTGTGGTTTTTATAATTAAGCTATCTGAAAGGAAACCTAGTCCCTAATAATAAAGTAGATAAATCTCAACAACAAACACAATTGTGTTCTCAAGTATAGATGGGTATAGTGTAATAGTTCCTCTCCATACTCATTCTCTCTGCCTAATAAAACAATGAAGACCTTTTCATATCTTTTGAAATGATTGACATTAGCGCATCTTAATTTTGAATGGTATTTTGGAGCCTTGTTAACTCTAATTCCTTTCAAACCAAAAATACTTGTATCTTCTTGAATGACCCAAGAAAAGAAGTTCCCCTCCGCTGGCCATAGAGCTTCCATTCAAGGATTTAGGCCCTATAAGGAATTGAAATTAGAGCAGAGCCTTGCAGACCTCCATGGACTGCAGGGGAGCTCAGCTCTCATACTTGCCAACAACCTATTCTCTGCCAGGTCATGCTCCTGGTGAAGGAGAAATTCTGAAAGTGAAACAGGCACCCTGATGTGGTAATAATGCTAATGTGGGAGGACAAGAAAGGGATTTGATACCAGGTAGAAGGGAGTGAAAGAGCATAAAGCAAGCTCGAGAATGAGGCCAGGATTGAGAAATCCAGTATAGCAAATACCTACCAGGACAGACAACAGGTGGCAATCAAGGAAAAGCCAAAATTTAGAATTAAATTGTAATAGATATCCAGAATCCAGATGAAATGAACAGAAAAGGATAGAGGACTAACCCATCTAGATACTGCTACACTGAGTAGATGACAGGGACCCAAGATGACTAAAAGGATTTAGTCAAAAGCCATATTTGAGCACACAGTCTGTGGTCAGAAGTCCTGGAAAGTGGATCATGAGCACCAGAACTAGAGCCCCAAGAAGTCTCCTAGTGTCCAGTTCAGGTGACTCAATGTATCTGTTATGCTGAGGACTGGGGCTCTCTTCTTCCAGGAGATTAGCATGAGTGTGTGGGTTGCAAGAAAATGACAGCATTCGGGCACTATCGGCAAATGATAATTGATTGTAGTGGGACTTTCAAAAAGAGATACATGTCCCTGCGTTAAAAATTATACTCCATGCCGGACATGGTGGCACACGCCTGTAATCCCAGCACTCGGGAGGCTGAAGCAGGAGGATCACTGTGAGGTCAAGACCGCCCTGGGCTACACCGTGAGTTCCAGGTCAGTCTGAACTACATAGTGAGACTCTGTTTCAAAAAACAAAAAACAAAAAAATAAAAAATTGTACTCCATGAGTTCGGAGAAGAAACATTAGCTAATTATCCACATGAACCATTTAAAATAATGCTCTTATTGCATCTGAAAATCTGTTGTTATTTTTCAGGCTACTTAGAGTACGACCACCCAGAAATAGGTGTCACTATGAAAACCAAGGAGGAGATCAATGTCATGCTCAATATGGCTAATGAAATTCTCAAGAGTTTTGAGACAAAAGGAATTATTAATAAAAATGAGAGTGCTGAAATTAGTAAGGTAAGATAGGATATTTCCAGAACAAATATGTTATTTTTTCTCATTGAGTTTATTGGTGCTTTTAAAGTAAACAGTACAGTTACATTTGTCATTGGGATCTTACACCTTTATATAATGTATCTTGTTTCTTTCTTTTTTCCCCATATCCTTGCCCTCCCCTCACCCCCTCCATACTTGCCTATTTTCAAAGATTTTGTTTCTATTTTTTCCTTTTCTCAAATTTTTTTCTTTTCCTTTCTTTCCTTTCCCCAACCCTTCCCACATCCCCTACTCCTTTACCCTCTTTCTTCCTATTTCATATTGTCAATTGTACAATTTGAACCTTATTTACACTCTTAGTTTTTCACACCACAGAAACTACTCACATGTTATTTCATTTAAGAGTATGGCCTCATATACATCCTTTTAGCAATGAATGACTCTAGTTTCTAATTTTTTATGGCTGAGTAGTACTCCATTTTATAGAAAAACCACAGCTTCTTTATCCAGTCTCTGGGTGATCGGCACTTGGGCTGTTTCCAAGGTTTAGCTATTACAAACTGTGCTGCTATAAATATATAAACATAGGTGTGCATATATCACTGTGGTATGACTCTTTTAATTCTTTTGGAAAGATACCCAGCAGATGGATACCTGGGTCAAATGGGGTATTTGCCTTATTTTTCTTTTCTTTTTTTCTTTTTTTGGTACTGGGGATTGAATTCCAGGCCTTGCATTTGTGAGGCAGGTGGCAGAACCACTGAGCTAAATCCCTGGATCAAATGAGACCTCTAATACTAGTTTTGTGAAGTTTCTCCATATTGATTTCCACATTGGTCACACCAGTCTGCACTTCCACCAACAATGGAGAAGGATTTCTTTCTCCCCACAACCCTTCCAGCATTTGTTATTGGTTGATTTCTTGATAGTAGCCATTCTTACTGGGGTGAGATGGAATCTCAGTGGTGTTTTCATCTGCATCTCTCAAATGACCAGTGATGTGGAACATTTTTTCATATGATTATTTGCTGCTTTCACTTTTTTCTCTGAGATATGTCTGTTCATTGCAGATGATCTTTTTTGAATTGGGTCTTTATATTTGGGGCGGCTGGGTTTTTTGTTCTTTATATATTCTAGATAGTAGACGTTTGTCTGTTAAAAATTTTTCCCACATTGTAAGTTGCCTTTTAGTGCAGTTGGTGGTATAGTGGGCATGTGCATGTCTTGTTCCTGATTTTAGCATGAAGGTTTTCAGTTTGGGGTCATTTAATATGATGTTGGCTGTTGGTTTTTCATAGACAGCTTTTATCAAATTGAGATAAAGATAATCTATTCCAATTTTCTACAGATTCTTTATCATGAATGGGTTTTGAATTTTTTCAAATGCCTTTTCTGCATCTATTGAGATGATCCAATGATTTTTATCTTTGACTCTGTTGATATAGTGTGCTACATTTATTGATTTACATACGTTGAACCATCCTTGCATCCCTTGAATAAATCCAACTTGGTCAGGGAGTATGAATTTATCGATGACCCTCTGTATTCTGTTTGCCAGTATCTTATTGAGGATTTTTGTATCCATGTTCATTAGGGAGATTGGCCTGCAGTTCTTTTTCATTTGGGTCTTTCCCTAGTTTTGAAGTCAAAGTATTCCTTGCTTCCAGGAATAAATTTGGAAGTATTGCTTCTCTTTCACTTTTATTCAAAAGTTTAAAGAGTAGTAATAGTAGTTCTTCAATAAATATTTTGAAGAATTCAGCTGTGAGGTCATAAGGACCTGGGCTTTTCTTTGTGGTAAATTTTTAATTACACTTTCAATTTCACTGATTGTAATTAGAGAGTTTAGAAATTTTTATCTTCTTTGTTCAACTTTGGTAATTCATATGTATCTAGAAGTCTGTCCATTCCTTCTGCATTTTCCATTTTATTGGAGTACAGGTTCTCAAAATAGGTATTGATAATCCTCTGGATTTCTGCTGGATTTTTTGTGACTTTAGTTTTTTTTTTTTTTTTTCCTAATTGCATGGAGTTAAGCCTTTTCTTTTTTTGATAAGTTTGTCTAAGGGTTTATTTATTTTATTTATTCTTTCACAGACCAACTCTTCAATTATTTGATTTTTTGTATCATTCTCTTAATCTCCATTGCATTGATTTTTGCCCTGATGTTTATGATTTCCTCCCTAGTACCAAGTGCTCTGCTTTGTCTAGGAACTTAAGATTCACCATTAGGTTGTTATTTGAGCTTGCTCTGTTTTCCTAGTGTGGGTATTTCCTGCTATGAATTTCCCTTGTGGAACTGCTTTCATTGTATCCCATAGATTCCTGTATATTTTATTGGCATTATCATTTATTTATAAGAACTGACTAATTTCTTCTTTAATTTCCTTTGTGGCCCATTGATTGTTCATGAGAGTGTTGTGCAATTTCCGTGTGTTTGAGAAGTTCTTGGAGTTTCTTATGCTATTGATCTCCAGTTTAATTGCACTATGGTGTGATAATATACATGGGATGACTTCATTTCCTTTGAATTTACTTAAACATATTGTATGAGCTAATATGTGGTCTATTTTGGAGGAAAATATGTTGTCTATTTTGGAGGAAAAACTCATGTGCAGCAAAAAAGAATATATATTTTGATTTTTTGTGGCAGAACACTCTGTTGATGTCTATTAAGTCCATTTGTTCAAAAACTTGGTTCAGTTCTAGTATTTTTTTATTGATTTTTTTGTCTAGAAGACCTATCTATTTGTGACAGTGGGGTATTTAGTTGCCCCACTACCATTGCATTAATGCTTATTTGGTTTTTCATGTCCCTGGATATTTGTTTTGTATAATTGGGGGCATTATTATTTGGTGCATATATAATCATGATTGTCATCTCTTCCTCTTGAATTGTTCCCTTTACAAGGATGTAGTAGCCTTCTTTGTCTCTTTTTAATGAGTTTTGCTTTCAAATTTGCTTTGTCTGTGAATAAGATTGCTACCCCTGCTTTTTTCTGGGCTCCTGTCGCATGGAGAATTATTTTCCATCTTTTCTCTTTCAGTTTGTGGGCTTCTTTTTGCACTAAGTGTGTTTCTTGTATACAACGTATTGTTGGATTTTGCTTCTTAATCCATTCTGTCAGTCTGTTTCTCTTGATTGGTGAATTAAGGCCATTGACATTGGTGGTTATAACTGATATGTCCTGATTTATTATTGTTATGTTATTGTTCTTTTGTTGACTCTTTTTACTTTTCCCCCCTCTCCTTTAGTTTCTTGCCTTGCTGATTTGATTTGGTCTGTTGGTCCTCATGGTGTTGTGACCTTCATTGTCTTTTTCTAGGATATTGTTTAGAATTCCTTGTAGTGCTGGTTTAGTGTTCATGAAATTTCTCAGGTGTTCTTTGTCATGGATGTGTCTTATTTCCCCATCCATTTTGAAAGATAGTTTTCTAGGATACATCAGTCTAGGTTGGAGGTTGTTTAGTTTTAGGCCTTGCAATTCCTCACTCCAGGCTGTCCTTGACTTATGGGTTTGTGTTGAAAAGTCTGCTATAATTGTGATGGGCTTTCCTTTGTATGTGATTTGTTTCTTTTCTCTAACTGTTTGTAGTATTTTGTTCTTTTGCTGTGTTTCCAGGATTTTGACTATTATATGTCTAGGTGTATATTTTATTTTTATCATGGCTAGTTGGAGTCATATATGCTTTACTTATCTGTATGTCAAATTCTTTTGCTCTGTTTAGGAAATTTTCTGTCATTAATTTTGTTGATATTTTATGCCATTTTTACTTTCTCCTGCTTTTTCATAAACTCCTATCAGTCTTACATTATTATTCTTCATGTCATTTAGGAGCTGTTGGATTAATTTATCATGGTTCCTTACTATTTTTAAGAGATTATCTCCATTCATGGTCACTGACTGCCATTCTGTCTTAAATATCTGATATTCTGTCTTCAGATTGGATCAGTCTGTTGTGTATACTTTCAATAGAGTTTTGTTTTTTTAATCTCCTGGATGTGTATCTGTATCTGTTTCATGAATTCCATTTCTTACCTATATTGGGCATTCATGGTTTATGTTTCTTTCCTATGCTGGGCATTCATGGCTTCTATCATGGTCCTGAACTCATCTATTTTTTTTGTCTGTTTCTGTTCTAGAGTCTCTAATCATGTCTTTCATTCTGCTCACCATCTCTGTAGTTATCTGGGAAATTATTTCTCTTTTCAGTTTTTCTAGGGCCTGATTGATCTGTTTTAGTACTTCCTATGTTATCGTTTCAGGGTGTCCTGGTGGTTGATTGTCAGACTTTTCCACTGCATTTCCATAGAATTTGCCTTTGGAGAGCTGGACATCTGTATTTGTCCCTTACTTAAGTGTTTTCTCATTTTATTTTTGTTGTTGGAACTCTCCTTGGTTTAATTCATAGGTTAATACTTCAATATTCCAAATAAAGCTGATCTTTAAGTTTTGAATCTCTAATCCTTCAGATACACTCTCATTTTCATAATATCAGGAAGGATAACTGATTAAGTCAATTCACAACACCTTAGCCCAAGTGATATAATCAGCAACACAAGAAATAGACAACTTGTGGTATTTATTAATCTATCACCTTTAACCATGTGAATTAAATAAAAAATCAATCAAGGACCAGCCCAAAATATGTTTATAGTGAATGAACTCTTCAATATAGCAACTTTGTCCTTCAGGATGGGAATTAGAAGGAGATGCAAAGAGAGGAATAGATAGGTAGAAGGTCAAGAAAAGGTTTGAAGTGAAGCCGGAGGACACAGGAAGATCATACAAACTCTGGGAAGCTACTGAAGACAAGAAGGAAAGACAAAATTAAAGAACACAGACAAGAATGAAACAACCTAACATCAACAGGGAAGCTAGAAACTGTATTCATTTTCCTTTGAAACTAATGACAATTGAGAGAAGGAAAAAAGAGAAGGAAAGAAAAAGAAAGAAGAAATATAAATTAGGTCAGGAATAGGAACAAAAATGGAGATGAAGAACAATGAGGGAGAGCAA